TAATCCCTTTATATATCTATATTATACATATAATATAATATATAATGTGATGTGATATAAATGGTATAAAGAAAACTGTGCAGCTATTAATCCCTTTATATATCTATATTATATATATAATATATAATGTGATATAAATGGTATAAAGAAAACTGTGCAGCTGTTAATCCCTTTATATATCTATATTATACATATAATATAATATATAATGTGATGTGATATAAATGGTATAAAGAAAACTGTGCAGCTGTTAATCCCTTTATATATCTATATTATACATATAATATAATATATAATGTGATGTGATATAAATGGTATAAAGAAAACTGTGCAGCTGTTAATCCCCTCAAGTTTTTATTATATTAATACAAATACATGCAGTTAATTAATTTATATGGACATGTTTTGTCGTTTAACTTCTCACCTCTACCTGTCTTCTCATTTCCCTTTCCTGGTGCAGTTAAAAGCCCGTCGATCCGAGTGTAATTCCAAGGCCATCCATGCCAGGAATGATTATCTCCTCACTTTAGCAGCTGCCAATGCACACCAAGATCGTTACTATCAAACAGACTTAGTGAACATTATGAAGGTAAGGAAGGGAATTCGGGCATGGGAGCTGGGAATGGGAAAATCTGGGAAGCAAAGGACGAAATCCTGGCTCGGTTTTGCAACAACCACGTTGACTTTTCCAAGGAGAGGGAAGGTAGAGCCTGAAATAATGTCCAATATTGGTACTACTTAAGCCCCCAAAACTCACCTGTCAACTTGATTTTTTAATCAGTTTGTTTTCTGAAAAACTCACTTGGATAAAGGAATTAAAAAAAAAAAGCCACCCTCATGTGGATAAAACTCACTTGGATAAGGGAATTTGGTAAAGTAAGACCTGTGTTTTCCTGTTGGGCTGGGGATTATTTTATCCCCTAATCCTATGTTTGTGTCTCTTCAGAACACTTTAGGGTGGGATTAATGAACTAAAATTATTAAATATTCTGGTTTCCCGCTTGATTTTAGGGAAGAGCAGATGAACATTCCTGTGGCGTTTGGCCAAGTCAAGCCAAGAGCAGCCACTTGAAGTCATAGGAAACGACACACTTAAAAAGTTCAAATCTGATTGCTCACTGTGTGGTTTTTTTTTAAATCTCATCCCAGAATTGTTTAAATGCACGTTATTCCCGTCTCTCAGAATGAAGAGGGTTACAGAGAAATGGTAAAATCAGCTCGTTCCCACTTTGTGGAGTTGCATTTCACACACTGACATTTTCCAGCTTTAATAATTTGCCCTTTAAAAACTCCTTCCAAGTGGTGCAATCAGAGCTGGCAGCTGAAAAGTCTGTTGTTTGCATTTGAAATTACAACAAATCACTGCATTATCAGCCTCCCTTTGCATCCTCTGGGGGGGGAAATATCAATATATTGATGTGAAAATATCCCATCTGACCCCTGCCCACTGGCACTTGGTGACACTTGGTCAGAGGTGGCAGTTTGGGTGATTTGTCTCAAAGGTTTTTGTGCTTTTGGAAGGTCAGAGGTTGGTCCTGGCATCCTGTGACAGCTGGATTAACACTGACAGGTAGTGTTTTCATCCCTTGGCTGGACAAACGTGGCTTGTAAGCACTAAAATCCAATAAAAGTTGGTTCAAGCATTAAAAGCAAGGAGGGCTGGGGATGTTTTGCAGTGACAGTGTTGGTTTAGGGTGGCACGAGGTATTTGCAGAAGTGTTGTTGGGCTGGGGACACCTTGGGTTGCTCCCAAGAGGAAGCTGCTGCCGGGTTTGTTCCTTGGATCCGGCTCCGGAATGCTGCTCTTGGGACAAATAAATCACAGACCCACTCTGTGGCCTCGTTTCATTTTCTGTAACGGACACAAATGGCCATTTTCACTGGCAGGATTCCTGGTGACACACAGCTCCTGCTGATTTTCAGGAGTTTAGGATATGCTGCTTTATTTTTTGTGCAGGAAGGAAAGAGTGATTTGCTCTGCCGTGTTTGTAAGCACAAAAGCCATCTCAAATCAAACAGGGATGCCTGGGAAGAAAACACAAAATACTTCCAGCATTTTTAACAGAACTGAGAATTGTTTCTATCCTGTTTTACCTATAATTACAATTATCCTATTGGTAATTATTATTTTACCAGTTCTATCTTAATTTTTCCAATTACACCACTGTGAGTTCCTCTCACGAACCACCTTAAGGAATGACTTTCTAAAGCAGCTCAGAATGAGGAAACGTTGATGTGGGGGGAAAAAAAAACAACCAAACAAACCAGGTGTCCTGGACACTTGAAATAGTTCTGAGATTATGTAAAGAGAGAAAAAAAAGAAGGAACCAAAAGTGAGGTTTCAAACTGTGCCCTTTTGTAGGTGACAGCAGGGACAGCTCGTGGCAGGTGGGTGGACACGAGTCAGAAGCTCAGGACTCTGCCAAGGTCTTTGACACAGTGTAAAAATGTTTTAATGAAGTATTTTATGTTGTTTCTCCGATAAGTTTACAAAATCTGAATGCTCGTGTTTCAAAGTTGAAATCTCTTAAGGAAGAATCTGCCTTGGGGTGTGAAAAGGACTTTGTGGAGCTGAGTAATTCGTGGAGCTCCGTGCCAAACACACAGCTTTGGAGCTAAAAAACTCCTTCACCATTCTGAATGATATTGTAGGGGATAATCATATCATTACAAAATTTAAAACAGAAAAAAAAAAAACAACAAAAAAGCCCCCAAAAAACCAAAAAAGAAACCTCAGCAAACTATTGGCAAACCTGTGTGATCTTAATTTTATGGAATCCCAGAATGGTTCGGATTGGGAGGGACCTTAAAGATCATCCAGTTCCAAAACCCTGCCGTGGGCAGGGACACCTTCCACTATCCCAGGTTGCTCCAGCCTGGCCTTAAACACTTCCAGGGATGGGATAACCTGTGCCAGAGTTGGGGAACTGTTCATTTTTCCTGCCTGCTGACAAATTCTCCATAAAGCAGTAGCAGCAGGTGTATCTAAAATAATAATTCTGCTTTTTTTAAACCCGTTCTTTCACTTCCTGCCTCGTGTGGTCTTGGAGGGCTGCCTTGGAAGAACAGTGTCAAGAGCTGGTGTGCTTTGTGGTTTCATGAGGGGTTTTTTGTATTGTCTCAGTCACCTTTGCTGCTTTTTTCTGTACTTTCCAGCTTGCTCGACACGAGGAAGTGCAATTGTATAATTTGGCTCTTGTTTTTGATCCGAGAGTGATGACAGGGCAGGTTGAAATAGAAACTCAGTGTTACATCATTTCCCTGCAGCAGCTCTTTGCTCACACGTGGGTGGGACAAGTTCCACCATTGCTCTCTTGGTTCCACAGGTCGGGGTGTAAAATTCCAGGGGAATTGCGGCCTTTCCACATCCTTGCCTGTTTTTAAGGATTCTGATGGAGGCTTGGACACTCCCAGGGATGGGGCAGCCGTGCCCACCCTCACAAGCTGGAGGAGGCTGAGCCAGGCTTTGGGGTTTGCGGGATGTGGTGGCAAAAGGAGGTGGAGAAGTTGAAACTTCCTGGTTAAATAGAAGAAATCCTTCCTGGTTAGATATAAGAAATCCTGGTCAGATATAAGAAATCCTTCCTGATAAAATATAAGAAACTCTGGTTAGATATAAGAAATCCTTCCTGATAAAATATAAGAAATCCTGATAAAATATAAGAAGTCCTGGTTAAATATAAGAAATCCTTCCTGATAAAATATAAGAAGTCCTGGTTAAATATAAGAAACCCTGGTTAGATGTAAGGACAAGGCTTTGCCATGAAGGTGGTCAGACACAGGCAGTGTCTCAGGGATGATTGATGATCCTCATGGGTCCCTTCCAACTCAGCATATTCCAGGATTCTCTGATACCTTGGTGTCCTGGGTTATCTGGAGATGGTCAGAGCTTAGCTGGACACAGCTTTGAGCAACCTGAACTATTTGTCCCAACTCTGAGCAAAGGTTGGACCAGTATCTCCCTTTCAACCTCAATTATTCTATCATTCCTTAAAATAACATTTTTCTGCTAGAAAGATTCTCCTTGGAATTCCCTGATTTCTGGTTTCTGGGGTTTTGTTCCTGCTGTTAACTGGAGTAACTGCAATGACCCAGCAGTGCCAGAACCTTCATGTTTTGATGAGCCCTGCTTTTCCTTTGTTAAGGAGTTTTTGTGAAGCTAAGTTGATATCTGTGTTTTCAGCACAGTCATCCAGCACTTTTCCTGAACATTTGTCATGAGTATTTAAAACAAACGTAAATTCAGGCTCCCAGCATGAATTGCACAGATAAGATTCGACTAAAACTGGCAGTAATTATAAAAATGACTCAACATTTTGGGTGGCTTTCAGTTAATAATTTGTTTTACTCCCTGAAATTAATAGGATGTGAGGGAGGCTCTTTCCACTGGTGGCTCTATTTGAAGTGAGAAGTAAGTCGATGAGGTGAAAGCCTCAGGAGTGTTATCCCAAGAATGCTGTATCCTGTATAAATAAAAGGGCACCATTTTCATGGGTGAACATTTCTGTAGCCTCCAGAATGAGCAGAACCAATATCCTCACTGTTATAAATCGATTTATGTCCACGTTTTTGTTTTAGGCTTTCTGGGATGATTTAGAAGCACCCAGGGAATTCCTTTTGACAGAAGTGGAAATTTAAATGGAAATTCTGTCCCTCAGCAAAAAAAATGGCACCAGGACAAAACAATTTGGAAGTCACTGGAGCTTCCATAAATCTCTTTTATTAATCCAATGCTGACTGTTCTTTTAAGATCCTGTAATTCTCCCTTGAAAACGTGGAGGGGACTGGTGTAAGTGAAAGAACTGTTGTTTCACTTCCCGCTCTTGTCAGCTGTGAGCCACAAGCATTTTGTAATTCCAGCTAAGCCACCCATGGATGGCATCATCTCCAGCATCACATGGGCACAGGAGCTTTCCTTTGCAGTCAGTTAAGGAGTGTGAGTGGCTTCCTCGTGTTATTCCTGGGAATGAAGGAGGTGGGAAGGGAGACACTTGCCCATCTCATGATCTGAGTGTTCCAGAATGGAGGAACAGTGAAGGGAGGCCTTGCCCAACTCACGATCCCAGTGTTCCACAGGATGCTCACTGAAGGCTTCCCAACAGCTGATCCCACATTGTTTTCCCTTCCAGGGAATTCCCTGCATGTCAGACCTTGGGGAAATGAATTCCTTTACTAAGACCCTGCTTGGACTGGGATTGTGCAGCTCTGGAAATGAGGGAATTGTTAACACACAGTTTGGGGTCTGTCGTTCAGGCTTTTCCTTAAATGCTCATTTCTCCCATTCCCAGTTGATCCCCGAGCTCTGTTTGAGCTCCTTCAAAGTCCATGGAATATGTGCTAATTCCAGTTGGGAACATTTGCTTTCTGGCTGGCTGTGAGTAAATATTTGTAGGGAGGTGACAAGTGGCTTTCCCTGGAAATAAAACAACTTCTGGGGGCAAAACCACAGGCAGGGGAGGTTTATTGGCCTTAATAAGTGGGATTGCCACCACTATCTGTGGTGTATATATGTCAGAGCATCATGGAATGGTTTGGGTGGGAAGGACCTTAAGGATGATCCAGTCCCACCCCCTGCTGTGGGCAGGGACA